TATTTTTTAAACTAATTTTTTGTGTAAAATTTTTAAGTTTAAGAATTTTTTATGCTAAAAAGTTGTATTAGAAATCAGTAAATAATCCATCCCAAATGAAGATTAGGAGTTTATTTGAGACAACTTTTGCGTTGTTTTGCTTTTCAAATTGTAATAATAGTTTTATTTGGATATTATTTTCTAGAACTTTTTGTGATGTGAAGTTGTTTTTAACAATTAAAATTATTAGTGTAATAGATTTAAGAAAATAATCGTTTGATTTCTTAAAAAAGAATATATTAATAATATTTGCTGTCAATTTTAAGAGTTATTTTTCTCATAACAATTTTACAATTATCTTTATAAAATATTATAATAATATCAAATAGGCCCTTTATGTCTTTGCTTGAATTCACACCCCCTTATAATTTTGGGTCTGTTCGTGAAATTTCTTAATAATGTTATTTTATTACACTTTTTTTTTTCTCGTTCAAAACAATTTTTAATGACGACAAATAGTTTCTTACTAAGCTTTTTAGAATAATAATTGTAAAAAATTATGTGTTTTTTTAAATACATAATATCAATAATAATTTCTTTTAAAACTTGTTTTTCTATATACAAAAATTAATAATTAAATTTTTGTTGGGTGTAGGAATGTTAAAAAATCTAATTAGACCGGTCTTCACAAATATATATGCATTAATGAAGAAAGATGATGATGATGATGATGATGCAGTGAGAGGCTACTCTTTTAGATTAATTAGCTCATTATGATTTTGTTTATGATAAAATTTTTAATGTTTTTTAAAATAAATTTTTAGTATATTTTTAATAAAAAATTAATTTAGAAAAACGGTAAAAAGGTTATTTCAAACGAAGTCTTAATAATGCGAGGGATTATTACGTGCGGAATTTGGATGTAGAGAATCATTTGGTTTTGTAATTGTGATCAGTAAAAATACAGTTGCTGATCAACATACTATGCTTTTACTGTTCTCAGTCACAAAATCGTGTTTTTCTGCGTTCTGACACTGCATGGAATAATCTCTCTAATTATGCACACATTTCAAGCAACTTCTACACTATTGTGCTGTTAGAATATGTTCTCAAAAACTTTGAGCTGCATCTATTCTAAGTATTCTATCAATTTAAAAATATATGATAATTTAAATGTGGCATTTAGGTATAGACACCTTAATTATTCTCCTATAAAATGTTCCTGATATGTGCTGAGATTGGATTATATATTTTATATCTGATAGAAATGGATCATTTATGCTTGATAATTGTTCAAAAAAATGATTGATCATAGAGAATCAACCAAAATGGGCACATTATAATTCCTTAATAAGAAAAATTAACAAGGATAATCTAAGCTGACAGATCTAATAAATGATTCTCTTGCTTATAGATCTACAGTACAACTTTGCTTTTTCTCAAATATGCTTTGATTCTATGGAAGCAAGAACTTGTTCTATTTCACCTTTTTCATATTTTGTTTTAGCCTAAATATTGCTTAGAGATAAGTTCCTAACTATGGTGCAAGACAAGTTGACTCGTAAGCTTACTTGTGCTCGACTCGATAAATATCACATGAATCGAGTTCGATTTGCTAATGAGCTAAAATTTAGTCTGCCTCGACTCAACCCGACTTGTTGATTCGCAAGCCTGCTCATTTTATAATTATTAATGTAAAATATACTTAAAGTATGTTAGAATTAAACAATTTAAGTATGAAGTTATTAAAAATATTTAAAATTATGTGTCACTTCCTTATGTCAAGTAATGAATTATTGTTATATTTCTAATTTATCATACCTTTTTATAATTTTACTATAATAATTACTAAAATTATAGTCATTTTATCTCTTTTCATAATAAGTGTGTTGGTTTTTGAGATAATTTGAACTCGTCGTATTAAGCTTGAACTTGATTAATTAATCAAACTCAAGATAGCGATGACTCGGGCTCGATTTGATTTGTTTACATCTATTCCAAGTTCATGTTTCGTTTAAGATAACTTTTTTAATGCTTTTTAAATCAGCTTTTTAGTTAACAAAAATTTTGAATTAGAAATTCTTTTACCATAAAATTATTTTAAAAAGCAATGAGAAAGGCTTTGTTTGGGACGACTTCTTGCTGCTCCTTAATGCTAGAAAGCCGCATTAAGAAACAGTAAGAAAGACGTCCCCAACGAAACCAAAGTTGTCCCAAATAAAGTTTCAATTTTTATTTATTTAAGCTGTTAAGAGTTTTCTTTCCTTGCTTTATTTTAAGTAAAATTAATATTAAAAAAATCATCCTAAAGTTTATATTTAACAAAGCAAAATTAAATGTGACTTCTAAACCTGCATAATTAGAGCTTTTCATCTTTATGAATACAAATTTCAAATATTTAAAGAGCTTAAGTGTATTGTTTTTATAGGCTTCTTATAAATATGAATGTGACATAACAAAATATCGCCATTTTCTTTTTTTTGTTCTTCAGCATTATGGAGATGCTCATCTTTATAGAGATGGAACATGTTGCAAAAATAGGGCAATTTCTTAATTTTTACGTGTACGTCAATATTTCCTTCTCCACAAGAGAATGGATAATTATCATAATTAAAAATAATAAAAATGAAATTATTTTACATTTTAGTTTGGTTTAGGGTTTAGGGTTTGTATAAGACCGCTTTTTCGCTAATTTTTTTCCAACAATAATTATAATTTTGTTTGGTTACTATTTTTCGGGTACTTTTTTTTAGAACTTTTGAGCCAATTAAAACAAACTCATACACATCGTATACGCAAGTTTCGAACTCAATATCTCTTAGGATTAGTTTGGGACGACTTTCTTATTGCTTCTTAAAGCTGGTTGGAAAGCTGCTTTAAGAAGCAGTAAGAAAACCGTCTCAAACTAAGCCTTAGTTGGTAATCAAAACTTCCTACCGACAGATCAAGTTGAGCTGCATAATTTATTTGTTAGATTTTTTTTAATGTAAAGTTATTAATTTACAACCAGAATAACTAATTTATTTTCCCCATAATAACTTTACCGTTAACTTTATAAAATGTTGTAATCATCCCAATCATACACTTAATATTAATGCAAATTCTAAGAATATTAAAGCCAATCATGATGCAATTGACCAAAATGTTTCTTTGAAGTGAAAAAAAAAAAAGTTGGATAAAAAAAAGCCACTAATTGCTGAAATTTATGTAAAGATGATCAATATCCAAATAGTTGGAGAGATCTAATTGAACATAAATTATCACTTAGGCAGATAAAGAGAAAGATGATGACTCTAATGGCTTTTGGTTTGGTGATCATTCGCGTAGATTGCAATAATGGTAAAAGCGAGCAACAATAGGGCCGGTAATATCCTCAAACAATATTAATGGACTTAAAAAAAAAAAAAAGATTTTTTTTTAATCAATTTTGAAGGTCTTTAATTAACAACAAAATTTAACTACTTTAAGAAATTTTATAGTTATTTTTAAGTCGCCGTCAAAAAACGTTTTACGAGCTATTCCGTGATATACATGTAACATTTTGAATTGCATCAGTTAAAACTATTATTAAAATATAGTAGTTTTTTTATTTGAATTTGTCTGTGGATGATACTTGACCTTGCTAGCAGGTCTCCTTAGAGAGCGAAGGAACCTGTAAGCAAAAATGCATAATACAAGGAGAAGAGTACAGGAAGAAGACGAGAGATCTCGAGCAAGTAGAAAGTTCTCTACTAGTCCAATATACCTCTTAAAAGCTTTCTTGTGTTGTGTATAATAGCTATCACCTCTTATTTATAAGATTTTATGGGCTACATGATGAGCTATATAGAAAAATGATAGAAATACAATGTCACACTATAATTGCTCACTCTCTTTGCTTCTCTGTGAATCGGATGACTAATTATTATTTCCTCCAAATAAATAATTAAAAATTTTAAAAATCTTAATAAAATGATTATCACTTTGGATATATAACATTAAATTTAAAATAAAAATTGAACATATTTATTAGTTCAATTCAATATGATCAATGTTCAAAAGCTTCAAATTAGTAAGAGACTTTACTCAATTTTTAATTGTAGAATATTATTTTGCATCTCTCTATAAAAGTCATATAAGTAATTCCTTATGTGTGAGGTGATTAGAAATAACAAGTTTGGAAGAACCAAAATGTTTGGAGAAAGTGATCACCTATTCATTTATGATGAAGGTGGCATAATGGAGAAATGAGAGGGAGATAATGGTGGCATAGACTCACAAGGAGCCATTAGGGTTTGAACTCAACTAATTAATGAGCTCACGAGATTCGAACTCAACTCATTAATGAGCTCATGAGAGGAGCATATTGAGCCATGAATTTGAGCTCAAGCCTATATTGGAGCTCAGCTTGGCTCAATTCATTAGCTTGTCAAGCAGCTCTTTTAAATTAAAACATATTCAAAAATTAATTTTAAAATAATATAACAAATATCTACAAAATATTTTAATTGTATCTCAACTCAAAGTTCAAACTTTCCAAATGAACTTGACTGATCGAATTGAGCTCAAATCTGACAATTTTTAAACAAGCTAAATTTGAGCTCACTAAATGAGCTCATCAAGTTCAATCTTAGTAAGAATTAAACGAGTTTAACTCAACTAATAAATACTCCTCCTTAATTTATCCTTACAAAAGCTTATTTTTTTGCCTTACAAAACATGAAGATCTTTCTTGCAAGATAGGAAAAATACATAAGATGTTCTCTCCTAATAAGAGTATATATTTTGAGCTCATCTTTAATTTCTCTACCATTCTCTTTTAGAAATAAATAAACCCTCTACCTATATCTCCTCTTCTTAGCTAGCTTTACCATTCTCTTCTAGAAAATCCTGTCTAAAGCCATGGCCATAGTGTGTGGTATTATTGCTTCTTCTACTTCACAATATAGAGACCTTGTTATTTTGAACACCTATCACTATTCGGTCAAAAGTGTGCTTCTTTCTCTTTTTAGCGCTATATAAGGAGTGCACTGAGCTTGTATTCTTCTCCAAGAGTATTGAGCGTGTGGCTGTGTGGGAGGGCATAAGAGAAAGAAGAGATTTTGGCTTTAGCTTGCTAGAGAGAGATAGAGAAAAATGGGCATTATGGTAGCAATGAATAGGCTGAAGCCATATATCTTTATGTTGTTCTTACAATTTGGCTATGCTGGTATGTACGTAATATCGATTGTTTCCTTGAAGAAAGGCATCAATCATTATGTGCTTGTCGTCTATCGGAATGCTGTTGCAGCTGCAGCCATTGCACCTTTCGCAATTTGGTTTGAGAGGTTCATTCCTTTCTCATATATATCATCACAATATTTAATATTTAGGCTTCGTTTAAAACGGATTTTTTACTGTTTAAGTCAGCACAAACAAAGCCTTAATCATAGTATTAAATGTATTTAATTATAGTTTAAATTTATCTGAATAGTTATAGCTAGCTCTTATATTTTGTAATCTTAACGAATTAAAAGAAGCATATTCGTATCCAGACCATGGAGCACCTGTGATGGTGGAGAGCACCTTGCTTTTAAAGATTTATAGGACAATTTGATTCCTAGCTAGCTTTCATCTTTAGCATAATTATTTAATTAAAAATTTGTTTTTTAAATTTAGAATCAATATTTATGTTTAACTGTATTCAAGTAACCCAAATTAATTTTGTTTTGATGAATAAATTGATTTGCAAATACATGCAAAATATTAATTTTGATTAATATAAATTTATAAATTTATAAATTGACAAAAATAAAAAAAATTAAAGAAAAAACTACTATGAAAAGTATTATTAAAGGAAACCTTAGTCCTCATATTTGTTTATTTTTTTGCCAATGATATAATGAACAGGACCCACACCTACTTTATGTGGCATGGGCGCCTAAGAAGTCGGCAATTTGCTTTGACCATGCATGCATGCATGCATCCATGCAGTGGATGACAAATCACAAGGAATAGGTTTCTTGATGTATGACAAGGGCATGCATGTCGCACCTTAAGTAAAAGTGTCAATAAATAATCCAATAAAAAAAAATGGACTTGACCCATTTAATAAATATGTAGATTCAGGTTGATCTTTTCAACCCATTTATTTGATGGGTCGAGTTTGGATTGATTGGATTCAGGTCAGATCAATTTTAGGTAGTACCTAAATTCGACCCACCAACCCTTTTTAACACCTCTGAATAGTTGAGCAACTTCAATAAGGATATAAGAGGGTCAATATATCATACAATATAAAATTTTAAGACAATGATAAAATGCTATTGATGTGATTCATTAATAATAAATTAGACTTTCACAGCAGTTTGTATAATCTATTTCATTAGTTTAAACACATACTAATTTATTTACAGCAGTTTTAGAAACCGTTGCTCATCCGCTATATTTGTGTTCGTTGGAAAAGCTTTAGCAGTGGTGAAAACTGCTGTCTATATCAATCTATAACAACGGTTTAAAAACGGGTGCTAATAACTACTACGGAAATCTTATATTTTTTTATAGTGATTGGAAGTTAGTTTTTATTTCGTTTTCATGTGGCTTCACTTATTGCCCTAATACAATCATCTCTTTATATATATTTTTTTTATTTCATTCACCTTTCTTTTCTTTACCCTCTTTTCTTTTTTTTTTAAAGGAAAGGGAGGCCAAAGATGACACCTAGAATTTTCATGAAGATATTGGCTATGGCACTCTTGGAGTAATGCTCTCATCTCTTCTCTTTTCAGCCCCATAATGGAATAATTATCTACTCGATTGCACCTAAAAGATAATAATTATGGCTAATTAACAGCTAATCTGAGCTTTATTCTCCTAATATTCCAGGCCAGTACTTGATCAGAATCTCTACTACGTGGGGACTGTCTTTACATCAGCAAGCTTTACTGCAGCACTCGTCAATATTCTTCCAGCCATTACCTTCCTAATGGCCTTCATCATCGGGTGAATTTTACTAGCTCCGCCTTCCATGAAAATTCTTCTTTTATCTATTTTCTTACTTGTCATTATTCCTTGCAAGAGAGCTTTGATCTATTAAAAAATTATCTTAATTACCACACTTTTCTACATTGAGTAAATAATTAACAACAGAAAAACTATACAATTCGACACTTTTTCTAATAAAAATTTTAGTCAAGAAAATAATTGTTAAAACCTCTTAAAATTAGTACTGATACCATCATACTTATAATGGAATTATGTAGAATTGAGAAGGTAAAAATAAAGAGCAAGCGCAGCCAGGCAAAGATTATTGGAACTCTGGTGACAGTAGCTGGAGCAGTTTTGATGATAATGTATAAGGGAGCTGTTGTGGATCTTCCATGGACAAAAGGAAGACCTCAACAGGAAGTTACTGATGCTGGAATCCAAAATGAGAGGCATTGGATTATGGGCACATTTATGTTGATAGTAGGCTGTACCTGTTGGTCTGCTTTCTTCATTCTCCAGGTGATTACTAATTCTAGTTGAATGTTCTGATATTTTCTTTCTTCTATGGCGCAAAGCATTATGTTTGTTCATTTAGGTTTCGGTTGGGTCGATTTTTTATTGCTTCTTAAAATAACTTTTTAGTTTAAAATTTAAAATTTTTATATTAGAAAGTTGTTTTAAGAAGCAGTAAGAAAACTATCTCAAACGAAGCCTTAGTTGATTGCAGCTCTAATTTTTAATTAGTTATATTGATTGATTTCAATCTGAAATTACTAATTTGAGATATTTTGAGTTATATATATTGTTTTTTGGTTGTTTAAGGCTGAAAGTTGCTTTTGGAGCACTTTTTTATTCAAATTGAGCACACTTTGTTAAAAGCTAACTGTGTAGCTAAGCTTTAATAAAAAAAAAGCATGAGAAATCATAATGGAATTGAATTGGCATGCATTAGTTTAAAGCTTTTAGTTTCTGTTTGATTTGCAGAAATTAAAAGATATGAAATGAAAAAGAATGAAAATGGAAATCATTATGGAATTGGTTTGAAATTGGTTCTCACTCAACTGTTTGGTTGAAGAGAAATTTAGTAAAATTAAGTTTATTTTTATATGTAGTATATTTTTATATGTTATGTTTGTTTGATGAGAAGTTTTTGTTAATTACATGAGAAAATAGAATTCAAATATGTAAAATTGAGTAAAATCATAATGGATTTGAATTGAAATTACTTTTAATTGGGCTTTTTAGATAAACTTAATCAATTATTAATTAAATTTAAATTAATTAAGATAAACACATTTTCATTCTTCTACATTCTTCAAGAGTTGCTATAAGGTCAAAATTTTGTCTAAAAAAACTAGGTGGATTCAATTTGATTTGGCTTATCATAAATAACAAATTGAACTAAACTCAAATAAAATTAAACAAAATGTCCCTAACAGTTATCAATTACTATTTTTCAAGGCCAACACCCTGAAAACTTACCCAGCTGAGCTCTCACTTGCCACTCTAATCTGCTCCATGGGAATGGTGGAGAGTGCTTCTGTTGCTCTTGTTATGGAGAGGGGATTGAAGCCCTGGTTAATTGGCTGGGATACAAGGCTCTTTGCTGCTCTTTACTCGGTAAATTTCTCTTATGATTTTAACCATTTCTTCACCTTTGATCTCAATTTGTTCAACTTACAGTACATTTACTTGTTTTTGAATATATTCATAGCTTCAAATATGCTTATTAATGGTCTTAATTCAGGGCATAGTTTGTTCTGGTGTTACTTACTACATCCAAGGGATGGTAATGAAGGAGAGAGGACCAGTATTTGTCACTGCTTTCCAGCCTCTTTGCATGATAATTGTGGCTATTTTGGGCTCCATTATACTTGCTGAAGTGATCACAGTAGGAAGGATGATTGGTGCTACCATAATAGTAATTGGCTTATATTTTCTCATATGGGGCAAGGCTGAGGATCACGTAACCCAATCTTCTCAGAAGCTCCCAACTGTGCTGGATCAAGATGCGAAGAAATCGCCCGCAGTCGAGAAATTCGTCGATGTTTCGACCCCATGAAATCGCTGAGGCTACTAGATATGGTTGCAGGGAGAGCTGAGGAGACTAACCTGGATTGTTAAGATGGTCAAGTTGATTAATTTGATCAAGATGTTACTGCTTGGTACTTATATTACTCTTGTCATACTAATTAATACTCTTGGAGTATTGTATTAATCTTTTGAGATCCTATCATATATAGATATTGGGTGTGATCATTATTGGTTTCCTTTTGAAAATGTCTTCTTCTGTTTTAAATTTCTGTCAGATCTGAAATGTGAAATTGCGTAATGACTTAGTATTTGTATGTGGTATTACTGTGTTTGGCTTTTAGAGCTTTACCTAAAGTGGCTTTGAATGGCTACATGTCTTTTGGACTCTTCTTTTAATCTTTATGATGAGTTGCAGAGACTAGTTTAGCTAAGTAATTTTTAGGTTTCGTTTGCGACGGCTTTCTTAATATTTTTCAGTATATATAAAATAACTTTTTTTAACTAGAAAATAGCTTTAAGAAGCAGTAAGAAAGTCGTCCCAAACGAAATCTTAATTAACTTTCTTATTGACATGACGGGGTCGTATATTCTCATGATATTTACTTATTATCTATCCTTTCTAAGGCCCTCCCCAAGCTCTTTTTGAACATTTTTCAGGCTCTATAAAAAAAATTTGATCAATGATTAAAATTTAATTAAAATTATTGATAATACAAACGTATAAAAGTTCTAATTGTTTATAATTTATTTCATGCTCTTTTCTGTTTGGTAATTTGAACTAAAAAGATCGCAGTTGAGAATCATTCACAAATGGCAAAGCAATGCTTAAGTTTATGGATGATGGCCAATCACTTTACATTTCCACCCCTGAATATTCTTTTGTGATCCCATGTAGTATTAATTATAATACTTTCATGTGCATGCTAGCCCCAAAAGTTCTGTGCATGGCTCAAATTTTGGCGAAATTATTACGTGCGGTCACCGGCCGCTGTCCAGAGGTCAATCAGGACGTGTCACATCACCACTACACTATGTATCATCACTGTGTACCGCTGTGTAACAGATGACATAATACATCCTGATTGGTCTCCGGATCGTAGTTGAGCCTCATTCACATAGATTGATTTTTAAGGTGAACTTATAGGGGAAAAATCAAATGCATATGATATTTATATTATTTAGTGACTAAGGAATATTGACGCACATAATTGAATTATTCTATTTTCATATTTTTAGGTTAAATTAAAGTATTTTTATTGAAAAAAAAAATCATATTTTGGCATCTTTTATTTTGAACTTTGGGTTTTATTTGAGGATTTGAGGTATGTATATATGTTAGAAGAGTGCTCACCAATTTTTATAATTTTTTAAAAAGAATTTTAAATTTTTTTAGAAGCTAAAAAATAAAAGAAAAGTAGATTTTTATTTTGGCTTGAAAATTTTGTGGTGGTAGACTTCTACAAGAAGAGCATGCCGTAATTTTTTTAACTTGTAAGGGCTGTTTGGCAACAAGCCGGATTTATTAAATCATGAAATTAAAATCTGAAAATTATTTGACAACATAAAGTGTTAAATCTTGCTAAATCATGAGAAACTATTTGGTAATGTAATTCATGATTCAAGCATTTAGTTTATTAAAAACTCAAATTTAATTTATATTTAAAATACAAGTTACTTATTTTTTAAAATTACCATTAATAAATAATATAATTAGAATCATAATATAAAGACCGCCTTCCGCAACGGTTTTTTTGACCCTTATGTCTTGCGGACTATGGTCCTTCCGATCCCGTCATCTACTACGGTCCTTCTGACCTCCACCACTAGACAATGATCTTTCTAACCCCTGTCTCCTATTGACTACGGTCCTTCCGACCTCTATCGCCTAATACGGTCCTTTCGACCTGCATCACCAGACAATGGTCATTCTGACTCATGTCTCATGTTGACTACGATCCTTCTGACCCAATCGCCTACTACGGTCCTTCCGACCTCCACCGCTAAACAACAGTCTTTTTGACCCTTGTCTCATGTAGACTATAGTCCTTATGACCTCTGTCGCCTGCCGACTATGGTCCTGCGGACTAAACGAACATATTAATAATGATTCTTCAAATTTCTACCATGTAATGCATTCTATATGATGTATATTTGCTATATCAAAGCTAATGCCTTCCCTCCAATGAAGAGCATCATTTGTAATCGGCTGCAAACAATAATGGATTCATTCAAATTGGTTGGGCCCGTGGGTTTTCCTCATTTTCAGGATTTCCACGTTAAAACTCCGATATCTCCTATGAACGCAACAATAAAATAATTATTATTTAGAATATTAATTATCTAACATGACTAGTAATATAACTTAGAAATATTAACTGGCTTTACTAACTATTTACTATTATAGATATTAATAACTTTAACTAATTATATAAATACTATTTTTATTTTGAATAGTTGTGAATATTAATTATCTAATTAATTATTTGAATTATTATTAATTATCTAATTAATTTTTAATTTATTTTAATTAAATTACTTAAATTAAATTCTAATTAATTAGAGACGATTCGCTCCTCTTTCTTCTGTTATGCATTCTCCTGTTGGACTTTCGTGAGGTAGGGTTTTGAATGAGTGGCTAAGCCTTCTGCGCATCCTTCGACGGCGTTCCTTCCTATCGAACCAGAAGTCGAGAAAGCTCGCCGTTCTTCCTGTTGGACCGAACGTAGCGACGGGAGCTCGCTCGCTGTGAAGGTAACTATGGCTCTCCCTTTCGCTCGCTTCATCAGCCAAATCCCGTAAATCCGCCGAACTCCAGGATTTGGTAAAGTCTGGATTTACGGAAAAAAAAGAGGGAAACGGAGGATTTATTTCGCCCTGAGATCTACTGGCTGCTTAAATCCTGCTTTGAACATTTGACATTTACTAGAATTTCTAAAAAAAACCATTGGAAATTTTTTTTTGAATGTTAAAAAAATTTTAGATAATGAAAATATAGCTAAAATTTTTGTGATAAGCGCAGCCCATAGAGATTATGTTGTTCATAAATTTTCATAATGTTTGGAACTTTTTGTGAAAATTTTGATGAATTTTAAGAGTTGAAGCACATAACACTATAATATTGTTCTATCGGTGTACATATATGAGGACTTCTGGTTAAACAGCTCGAGTTATACCTGCCCGAGGGCACCGCCGTGACTTTGTGGAGACAGCAAGAGGCAGCATGGCTACGACCGACAAAAGGCCGCCGCTTTCACTCGATAAGAAGAATAAAGAAACGAAGAAGAAGAAGAGTAACGAAGATGATCGGTCAATGCGTGAAAAGAACAAAATGGGGCGGGAGATTGAGGAAATTTTTAGGGCTAACAAGAAAAAGAGGAAGGAATCCCCCGGAGTTGCGGGGCAAAGTTCAGCAAAAGCGAGGGTGGGAACTGGAAAAGAGCAAAAGAAGGTTAATAAGAAGCAAGTGGTGAAGGACGAGAAGGAGAAGAAAAAGAACGGATTTCCTGTGGATGAGAGTTCAGAGAATCGCTCTAAGCGGAGGAAGACTGCGGATGGGTTTGCTATCTACTCCACAGAGGAGCTTGGTATTGGGAATCCAGATGCCGGTAACACGCCTCTTTGTCCTTTTGACTGCTCCTGCTGCTTCTGAGGCTTGTTGTAAGTTACCAATTTTATGCAAATGTTTATCGTTTCTCTTCAATTTTTTTGTCATTTTAAGCAAAAAATGTTTCTTTTTTATTCTTTTCTTGTGGTATTTAATTGTGTTTACAATTGTTGGATGTTAGTTCTATTAACATAAATCTTATTTTGTTGAAATTATTGCATGTGTGGAAGAAGGGTGACTGTTCTCTTATGAATATGCACTTGATGGATGAATAGCTGAATCTATCATGTCTTAAGTTTATGACTTATCGTTTGTTGGTTATTGCTTCTTGTTCTTATTTTCTGTTGCTTGATTCGTAACTTCTGAGGGCCTTCAAATAATGGTTCTGGTTTTTAAGCAATGGAAGAAGGGTGACTTCTATCAAGAGAAGCTATGAATTGAAGCTTCTTTAACTGGCTTGTTTCATTTTCTTTCTGTGGAACTCTTTTCCTAGCATTTATGTTTGATTTTGGGAGAAAGAATATATTTGGCCAAGCGAGCAATTTTCCCATAGAAGATTTTTTTTTCTCTAGTGTCTTGTGTGGTACTGACTAGGAATTGAAATTTAGTTTGGGCTTTCATTGATCAGAGTTTGATCTCAACTTTTGTAGGCTAAATTATTTCCGAAATTGAGATTTGACATGCCTGTTGTGAAAATCATTTGTTTGTCCATCCGTGAGAGTTGATTCTGCTAAGTGCTTAAGATTGAGTTAATTAAGGGTTAATTAGGCATTTGTGGGTTAATTATGATCTCTTAAATACCAAAAAAATCAATCACTAAATTTCATTGGGTGATCATATTAGTAGATGTTATAATTATGGTAAAGAAGATAGTTTTTTTGTGTTGGTAGAATTTTTATTATTTATATATATGGGATTGTGTGATCTAGCTAACTAGTTCGAGCCACACTATTCACTTTATTCTTCATAGAGATGTAAGTCTTTAAATCCTATGAACAACATTAGCACACTTCCACATAGAGTTCATGATGTAGTGGATCGTCGGAAGACTCGACCTGCAAGAAGGATTTGGTTTTTCCAATCCAGGGAAGAAGAAGAAGAAGAGCTCTAAAAGCTTCAAAGAGTGTAATATATCATTCAATGATCCCCTCTCTTTCAATAGCTTGTATATTTATAGGGTAAAAAGAGTATTCTAGAAACTAGTGGTAACAAATCTATAACAAACTAAGATAAAGTAATCCTAAGGACTATATAACTAAAGATGTTCCTACATCATTCTCCCCTTGCGTCAAAAGGCCTTGACTCCGTCGAGGCACGTTGTCAGGAGAGAGATAGCAATCCTCCTGGGTCGAAATTTTTGTTCCCAATAATTTTTGTAATTGCTTTTAATAAACTACCCCTCCTGAATAATACAGTGTTAAATTTTTTCTCATTTCTTGCCATCTTGAAAAGGTGACAAAGAATAGCCAAATGCTGATAGTTAACATATGATCCATTAGAGGATATAACCACACGCAGCTCATCCAGAAAAGTACGATGGACAACCTCTATCCAAAGAACTTCAATAACTCCAATCAAACGATTACTTGTTGTCCTAGATGCATCAACATTTTCATAACACAGGACAACCAACATATTAACACCTTTTGTGTCAAGCATCCACTCAACATCATCAGGTTTGAAACATTCAGCCTCATCAAATTTGTTTATCTTTTCAGATTTAATAAAAACTTCGTTAATCTCCGAAATACCTCCAAGAGCCATCTTAGCCAACATATTGTTTTCTCTCAACCTCGGTGCACCCATAGTAACATTCTTGGCACTAACACCAGCATAGTGGAAAACATTTAACGTCATTTGAGTAGCTAGTTTTCCAATTCATTGAGCAACCACGCACCAGATTATTTCTCCAAGGGCAACCAGAGACCGTTTGCTTGCAAAGGTACTCCATAGCGTCACATGTAAGGCTGTTCGAGATGCAAGATGTACTCTGTCTTTGGAGAGAAAAGCTTCACCAGTTGCCAGATCATTGTCATGGGAGTTGTTCCTCAGAAAGGACACTTTGAGGCGGTGGGGATCGGAGCAGATAACTAAGGCTGCAAGTGCGGCAACAACTGCACCTGCAATCCCTGCAACTACAAGTGAGATATGTGCCTCCATGCTCAGAAAATCATCATCAGCCACAATTTTAAGCCTTTCTAGTAGCTTATCAACAACAGTTTTATCAGGCATTCCATCAAACGTCTGACGTGCATCCTTCATGCTCATTTTAAGATCAAATTCCTCTGTCATTTCATATTTGTAGACTTGTTGCAAGAGAGTTTTCTTTCCCGTACCACCATGCCCCACTATAGATAGAAGAGAAATGTTTCTGTACAAATCAGTTCCCAGATGCTCATTTGATGGCTCCCTCAGCCACTGCATAACAAATTCCTTATCCTTGCCTCTACCTATGAGATCATTTCTAGGCAAGGATCCTGTTTCACGTGTTTTGTACAACTCACGCTGCTGCTCTTGCTTTGTGTTTTCTAAATGAAGAAAAGCACTAACCTCAGCTGGAACTTTATCAAGTTTCTGCACAACCTCCTTTATACTGTCAGGTTTCACCGTTGAGATCACAGCCGACCCTGCATCGACCATTTTCTCGTGCATGTTGGATGCTGTCGAAGAGGACATACCGTTGTAGCTGTTGCTTTTGTCTTTGGAAAGCTCTATTGCTCCTCCGTTGTTCTGAGTAGACAGGGCCATGTCCTCCAGGGAGCAGCTAAGCTTAGGCGAAACCTCGATCTCATCTCCACCTCGGCTCTGTTCTTCTTGGTTGTTCAGTTCAGCTTGGGTTTTGGGCTTGGGATCGTCGGAGCAGAGTGGCAATGGGAACTGGAGCGGACTGGTATTGGGATCGGAATCACATTGGCGAGAATCAGAATTGTTGTTCTTGTCGTGAGATGAAGCGACGATGAAATCGTCGTCGAGCTGTGGTTCTCCTCGGGTCGTAGATATGAGAGCGGAGGTTGGAAGTGGTGTTGCACTCGAACACGGGGCCAATAGTCCGGGCGTGCTAGTAGAGCATAGGAGCGACGAAGAAACGACATGCGAATCTGGAGGCGGAATTAGGGTCGGGCTTGCTCGGATCTGGGAGCGTTTAAGTGAAGAATGGATGATGGGTTGCTGGTTGGCTGCGGGAGGTGGAGGAGCTCGATTCGAGTGTTGGAATCGAGGGGGATCACGGATCTGGCATTGAAGCGGAGGGGGGTCGCGCCATCGGAGAGGAAGCTCGAGCGGCGGATACTCCGGCTGCGGATCGCGCCATCGGAGAGGGAGTTCGAGCGGAGGGTAATCGTCAACCACAATCGGTTGATTTTGGAACCCTTTGCGGGAAGCAGAGGAGAAGAGGGACGGTGAAGACGAATACCTCGGTATGGTTGCCGACGACATTCACATTCTCCTTATTTTCCGAAGGTTTTCGTCTATTCGATCATGATAGAAGGCTATGCTGCTTCGTTCATCGTCGATAGCTCTCCTTCGTCGGTGTCGATCGTCGTCGACCACCGTCCTTATTCTTCGACTTCGATCGCCGTTGACAGCCGACCTTCTTCTGCAGTCCATCGATCTTCGCAAGCTCTGGGCTCTGATACCAAACTGATGTAGTGGATCGTCGGAAGACTCGACCTGCAAGAAGGATTTGGTTTTCCCAATCCAGAGAAGAAGAAGAAGAAGAGATCTGAAAGCTTCAAAGAGTGTAATATATCATTCAATGATCCCCTCTCTTACAATAGCTTGTATATTTATAGGGTAAAAGGAGTATTCTAGAAACTAGTGGTAACAAACCTATAACAAACTAAGATAAAAGTAATCCTAAGGACTATATAACTAAAGATGTTCCTACGTCAGATCACAATTGCCATCTTTGAGACTTTGACAAACAATGGTAATGTCGATTGATTCATTGAACTTGCTTAAATGGAGAAAAAAGTTCAAACATATTAGATGCTTGGGATAATGGATGTGATCACCCTTTGCTTAACCAACCCTGAAAATTTTGATACTATAATGATTAGTTGGGATGACTTCTACAAATTTACAATTCAACATATTTCCGTTGTGTAACTACAATGATAATTATATGTACACTAATCTGAATTAATCGGATCTATCTAATCCAAATAACATCTACCTAGGTTATACACCAACATAATCATATATAAAAAAAATCCAAAGCCCACGTTATGTATCTATATCATAAGTCACTTATTTCACTCATTGTAGAAGAGAGAACCCCATCTTAAATGACCTTTTGAATCCTTCAATTTTTCATAAAGAAATGCCATCTCAATCACATCACAATATCACATGATAGGCCAATCAATTTATATGGCCGAGTGCATTATAATTATAATTACAATATACCAGCTGTACATATCAATCATGCAATCTCCACCTGTACTTTCATAAGTCTTAGGTTTCATTTGGGATGACTTTTTTACTGCTACTTAAATCAGTTTTTTAGTAAAAAAATAATTTTTTTGTACAAAAAAGTTGCTTCAAGCAGTAAAAAAACCGTCCCAAACGAAATCTTAATCATACTAATGTTGTGCTTTTTCATAGATAGAAGAAAGCAATCTTAAGTACCGCTATTTACAGCTTCCTGAATGGTAGGCATTCTAGTTCTAAGAAAATGGATCAAACTCCCCTAAGAATAGATGATATTATCAATAACATGATATCACATGTGCTAAACTAATAACGATATAAGCCAGTGCAAAAGCACATATCTGTTATGGGATATAAGATAGGCATTCATGATATTATAATGAATCTCAACGATAAGCTATCAGTAACAACTTCATTTAACTATTGAATATATTTAATAACAATTAGCAGGTATACCCAACCAAAGTCATCATAGGTGGTTTTGCCAACTCACGATGAATGTGTCGGTTCTACTAGAGAACCATCAATCAAATCGCATGATAGGCCAATCAACTTATACTACCATGTGATTTATAATAATAACATACCAGCTACACTTATCAGTTATGGGAATCTCTAACTGCACTTTCGTAAGTTTTAATTATACTAATGTTGTGCTTTTTTTCAAATAAAGGAAAGCAATCTTCACTATTTACAGCGTGCTGAATGGTAGGCATTCAAAGAAAATGGGAAATAACATGGGTAGCTCTAGAGTAAGAATGATGGTTTAGCTTTTACAAATAAG